TCGGACAGCGGTCTGCCCGCCCCTCAAATGTGACAGGGGAGCAGAGACATCACAGGGAAGCCTCCCCACTGGAAACACATTGGCGTCCGACACGCTCACTCTCGAGTCCCTGGCTCGCTTTCAGCTCCCTTGTCTCACGCTGCAGCTCTGTGACCGACCAGTCACATTCAGCTTTACCATGGTAGAGCCACAGGGCACTAGACCTGGAAGGGCCCTCGGGAGGTCATCCTGTCCAGTCCCCTGCCCTCGCAGCAGAGCCAACCAACATAGAAGCACCCCTGACAGATGTTTACCTAACCTGCTCTTAACTATCTCTAATGGTGGGGATGCCACAACTTCTCTAGGCAATTTATTCCACTGCTTAGCCACCCTGACAGGAAGTTTTTCCTAATGTCCAACCTAAACCTCCCTTGACATTAAGGAAAATATTTGTTGTTCCTCCTCCTCGTAACACCCTTTTAGGTACTTGAAAGCTGCATTCATGTCCCCTCTCAGTCTTCTCTTTTCCAAACTAAACACAAACCCACTTATTTGAGTCTTCCCGCATAAGCCATGGTTTCTAGATCTTTAATAATTGTTGTTGCTATTCTTTGGACGCTCTCCAATTTCTCTATATCTTTCCTGAAATGTGGCCCAGAACCGAACACAGAACTCCAGTTGAGGTCTAATCAGTGATTGTAGTGTGGAAAAATTACTTCTCATGTCTTGCACACAACACTCCTGTTAATGCATCCCAAAATCATGTTTGCTTTTTTGCCAGTATCACACTGTTTACTCATATTTAGTTTGTGGTCCACGATGACCCCATATCCCTTTCTGCACTACTTCTTCCTGGACAGTCATTTCCCATTTTATATGTACCCTTCAGTGTTACCCCTCTTCTCCCTGAAATGAGGATCTTTATCCAGTTCTGCCTCATCATATGCGCCACGACATTACTGCATGCCAGGAGAGGGTGGCATGACAGTTGCAGCAGGCAGGAGAGAATTATTATTAACTACAGCGGGCTATTTATGTTGACACAGCGCACGACTGAAAAATGCTGTACACAGTTTTATGAAAGACATCAAAAATAAAATGCAGCATTAAAATACAATATTTAATAAACATTGACCTATCAATACAAGAGGTAATGTTTGAGTGATTTTTTTTTTTTAGATTTCAAAACACCTTGCTCATGATGAGGCAAGTTGAAGAAAGATGGAAAACAAAAAAGGGGAGGAAATAAGAGAACTTGTTTGTTTCCTATTCTGGTTCTTTAAAAATGTCCATTTCAAATGCATAAATTGCCTGCAAACAACATTGCATCACACAGTTTGTGAAACTCAAAATAACACTCAGAACCTTTGGGACTCTGGCTTTCCAAATAGAGTTTAGCTGCCTCAGGGAAATGCTGGGGATTTTTTCTTAGTGCTTTCTGAATCTTTAATAGGTTGTTTCCTGTTAGTAAATTAAGGTATCAGTGCTTGGTAGGCTTAGTAGAATCACAGTTTGACACAGATGTTATTTCTAAATAAAAGATGTCCCATTTTCAATAGGGTTAAAATACTTCAATTGATACAGGATGACCCTCTCTAGCTCAGCACCCTCAGGACCTCACTGGTATCAAACCAGAGAATTTGCTGAACCATGGGAGGTCAATATTGTCTAGCAGCATTACCAACACTTCCACTGCTTACTGGACTCTTGGAAGACATTTAGGGATAAATTAAAGTACACCACAGAACACAGCGAGCCGGGGCTGCTGACTGTAAACAAGTAAACTACAGGAACCTAGGCCACATTTATGATAAGTGAACATCTAGCTAACTAAAATCATGCTGGACCACAAATGTTGCCAGACCAGAGAGTGCCAGATTCGAGAGGTTCAACCTATACTGGCAAAAAAAAAAAAAAAGGGGGGGAAAACGGTTTATTAGAAAAGAAGCAAAATGCCATGCTTACTCATGTCAATCTGTATAAATCTAGATGTAATCTACTTGGGTTAACTTCTGGTTGAAATAGAGTTCGCTGATACTTGTTCTATCTTCTATAATAAATGCTTAATAGCAAATAAGCTTTCAGAGAGGTAATGATCATTTTTAAGGTGCCATAGGACTCCTCATTTTAGCAAATAAATTATTATTAGATCTTGATTTGTATAACATTATATTGTGTGTTAGCGAGACCTAATTCTGTTTCCATTGAAATCAAAGACAAAAATTCCACTGCATTTGATACAAATGTGACCAGAATCACAGTTGTGATATAACAAAAAACAGGACTCTGTAGCACTTTAAAGACTAACAAGATGGTTTATTAGGTGATGAGCTTTCGTGGGCCAGACCCACTTCCTCAGATCAAATAGTGGAAGAAAATTGTCACAACCATATATAAGGTTATTTTGAACTTCACCAGGGACTAATGTGTGGCACTGTTATTACTTATGTGAAGGATATTGTCATCAAATATTTTAAGCAAGAACTTACATTTTTAGAAAAAAATATAAACTCTACTCATAAAAAGGGAGATCAGTATGGAGTCCAGTATCAGTTTATTCCCAGAGCAGTGATTAAGATGGCTGAATTTATGTGTACCAGAACACTAAGCAGAAGAAAATGAGGTTATGAAAAAGACACTTATTTAAACATAGACATTTGATAACTAATAAAAATAGCATGCAGTTAGGAGTCATTGATATCTGGAAACATAAATCTGTTTTATACATCTTATTTATTTTTAAAATATACCCAGCCTCAAAAGGACTTTAAGAAAGACGCACTTTCAATAAAATCAGGCTATTTCCTGCTATTGACTTTTAAGTTGAACTCCTTATTGACTTGATGAAGAGTTCTGCTTTAAAAATAGTGAGATTTAATTATAAGCTGTCTTACACATATGTAATTAATACATTTATATAGAACTTTTCCTTGTGAAGGATCCTAAATTCCTTTGAAAAATGCATGTAAGAATCACATCAGCCGCAGCTAAAGTTAGTGATGAAACATGACAAATATTCTATAGCACATAGTATTTTATATAATTTACAAAAAGAAGTAAAGAGTACCCAATCCAGTTGAAAATTCAGAGAATTTGGATAGGAAGTTGGAATTTGGCCAGGACATTTGGGCTAATGCTAATTCTAAGGAATATAAATCCTATCAATTCATTTATATGAAAGCCTGTGGTAGAACAAATGATGGCAACATAATTAAAGAGATTTTTTGCTGTAAACTGTAATTAGTGTTGTTTACCATTTTCTTTTTGTATTATCCATAGGAATTTGGTTTTCTTAATTCTGAAGGTAATTTTATCATTGTTTTGTGTGTGTTGCAGAATCATATGTAAAAGACATTAAATACCCAGACTCATCATTACTTTCTGAATGGTAAGTCTGTTAATATGGCATGAGACATAAATTAGTAAAGTATTCTCTCACAAAATAAGTTTTTTTTTAAAAACTAGGGATAATTTTCATTGTAAATGGATTTACAATATACTTTGATATCCGACTAGGTCAAGGAGTATGCGGGCTGATTGGGGCATGAAAGGTAGAATGTCTTTTTCTAAATGTATCAAGCTACTGGCTGTGTTACAGAACATTTATAAGTTTAGCATGTGAGGCTGTCTTTTATCTTGAAGAAAAGAGAGACTATATGAATATTCTGTTGTCATATATGGTTCTCCTTTCATGGATAGAAAGGATAATTGTGTATCTCATTTATGTCATATTTGGACTTTAGCTATCCTGTCTGGTTCTCATGCTTTTCATGAATGTGAGATATGGTACTTGTCTTCTACAATTTGCTGTTCCAAAAAATGTAGTCATGTAATCCTAAACATTTTATAGAAATGGCTAGTACCTTTTTGCTCTTTGATGGTTCTGTAGCCCAAATATTATGTTGGCTTTTTTTATTCCAAGTTGCAAAACAAATATGTATTCAACTATTATTGCTTGATGTTACAATCCACCAGAAGACTTAAGTCACAAAAAGGGGGAGTGTTATATTTAACATTTTAATATGCTAATGAATTATTTTCATCTGTGTATAACCTTGGGCAGAATAGCATCTCTATTGTCATTTTTGGTGGTTACCGCACTGAGTCAAAACCTTTTTTGTAATCATTGTAGTCTTGTATTTTCTGAAAAAGTCTGAAGTTCAAAATGTAAGTGTGGAATTATTTTCTTTTAAACGTGGATTTTTTGTTTCTTATTTTTGATGCATGCTCACACACACACACAAACCTTCCTACACTATTGCATTCTTGAATCACTGATAACACAATCTAATTTGAATGATGCTACTCTTCTTATGGAAATAGAATCAATAAAATAAACTCCATCCAGGGTCATCCTGGCAAAAATATATAATTGGAAGAGCACAATGTTTATTAAAACATACAAGATAATCCTTATCTTATTGCTTACTCTTCATGCAGTTTTTTTGTGGAGATGTAGTAAGGTGATTAGATTCACTACTTCTGACACCTCTTGACTTAAAACGCCAACCACAAGACATTGCATGACACAGTTCATTACAGAACATGCTCACTTCAAGGCTGATGAGATTGCTTTCAGAAACTGAACTGGCTTCATAATATCTGTTTGCATTCCAGAGAGTGATTCTGTTCCACATCACTTGGAACTTAAAGAATTTTTTGACATTGTGGGTTTTTAATAGCTTTTCTTTTCATTAACCTAAACAATTTTCCATTAACATACCAATGTTACATGTGTTTGTTTATGTCTGAAAGGTTGATGTAAAACCACTGTAATGGTTCGTATACTGCTATGCCCCCATCTCAAGCCATCCAAATGTCAAGGAGTAGTCAACTATACGATTAACTGTTAAGCCTAGATTTATCTGTTAATCTTGTTGACTATGTGCATTTTCTCCCCCCAACCCCGCTTGCTGCTTCTGTATCAGAGGCAGTAATGGGAGGGAAGCAGGAGCTGGTGCTGGGAGGAGCTGGCTTAAAAGCTGGTTCCCCTAGTACTTGCTCTGCAGTTCCACCTGCCCACCACCAGGAGAGGCAAGCGCGAAGTAGCCTCTGTCTGTGGCCTGGCGAGATCATGCTAATGAAGCGTGGGATATTTAAATCCCCGCTTCATTAGCAATTTCGGTCTCCTACATTTGCATCCCTAGCTCAAACTAGGGAGAAAATATAGACGTACCCTAAGAGTAGGAATAAATGGTGAGTTTTCGTAGTCCAGAGTGCTAACTAGTGGGATTCCCCAAGGATCTGTACTAGGATCAGTGCTGTTCAACATACTCATAAATGACGTGGAAAAGGGGGATAAACCATGAGGTTGCAAAGTTGCAGATGATACAAATTACTCAAGATTTTTTCCTCAAAACCTGATTATTAATAATTACAATGGGATCTCACAAAACTGAGTGACTGAGCAACGAAAAGGCAGATGAAATTCATTGTTGATAAGTAATACACATTGAAAAATATAATCCATATACAAAATGATTCCATCTAAAATAGAGGTTACCACTCAAGAAAGATCTTGAAGCATCATGGATATTTCTCTGAAAACATCTGCTCAATGCACCTTAGCAGTTAAAAAAGCTAATAATATTAGTAATCATTAAGAAAGAGATAGATAATAAGGGAACATTTCAAGCTTCTTTCAAAATAAACACTGATTGGACATTATCTCACATTTAAGGCCACCCTGAACCAGTTCAGGCAGGGCATTAGATGAGCAGTTGCTTCCTGGAACTATTGCCTGAGGCTATCTGAGACGCGTGCTTAAAGAAACCCCCCTAAACAGCTGTATCTCAGGTTCTTCTGCTTGCTTGCCTACCTCTCCAAAGGACAGCAAAGCGTTTCCCCTGGGTGCTTTGGTTTCCCTGCTTTTGGACACCACAACACTCCCAGCTATGGAGCTGGAGCTGCCTCTGGGCACTCGATGGCCCCAGATTGCCGTGCTGCAATTTCTGCAGGCTGCCCTCCTGGCGCTGCAAGAACAAGACCCTAAGCTGCTTGATGAGAACCTCACCATGTATGCAGGAGCACTGTGCGTGCAGTCTTACCCCCCTGTGGAGTGATGCTTCTGGCGGCTGGAGACCAGTTCCAACTGGCGGAAGCGGCTTGTCCTAGAGAGATGAGATGACCAGCAGTGACTTCAGAACTTCCGTATGAGGAAGGAGACATTCCTGGAGTTGTATGCCTGGCTCGTCCCTACCCTCAGACCTGGAGAAGCAGGTCACCATTGCCATGTGGAAGCTCTCCACACCAGAGAGTTACTGATCCATGGCAACCAATTTGGCATGGAAAAGTCGACCATTGGGGCCCTCATTATGCAGGTATGGTGCTCTCAGGCTGCAGTTCCTGGAGGGTGGGGACGAAGTACTGGAAAGGGGGTCCCTAGGGAAAAGGGGGTTGGAGGTGGGGGGGGTTGGGGTGGTAAGGGAAGCCCCGTCCCTGGGTGGTTCTCCAGACCTGCCCTCACACTGCCCTTCCAAGGGAGGGGGACAGGCTACAGAGGGAGTGGCTCCTGGGGTGTTTGTAGAGGGAAAGGGGGAGGAGGGCTCGGGGACCTCCCAAGGGCTCTTTGATTCTCTGTTCTGTTTGTTTGTCTCCTTCTGAAGGTGGTGAGGGCCATCAACACTGTCCTGCTGCTCAGGGTCATCCAGCAGGGTGACCTGGACTCCATCATCGCTGGATTTGCCACCCTGGGCTTCCCTAACTTTGGGGGGGGGGCTATTGACAGCATACACATCCCCATCTGTGCCCCCAACCATCGTGCCACACAATACAACAACAGAAAGGGATACTTTTCGATGGTCCTACAGGCCCTCGTTGACCACCATGGTCAGTTTACAGACATCTTTGTTGGCTAGTTGGTGAAGGCGCTTGATGCCTGCATCTTCTGCAACTCCAGCCTCTACCAGAAGCTGGAGGCTGGCACTCTCTTCCCCGAGCGCAGCATCAGGGTCGGGGACGGGGACATGCCACTGTACATTGTGGGGGACACAGCCTACCCCCTTATGCCGTGGCTAATGAAGCCCTACACCAGCCACCTGGATCTGAGCAAGGACCACTTCAATGGCCGCCTAGGCAGGGCCCACATGCAGGCGGAATGCATCTTCGGTTGTCTGAAGGCAAGGTTCAGGTGCCTCCTGACCCGCCTGGATGTGGGGGAGCAGAACTTTCCTCAGGTGGAGTCCACATAATGGCCATTATTCTGGAAAAAATGGTGCAGTGTAGATACACCCTATGACAGAAAATGCTATAATAGTATTAAATGTGCACACCTTAAATACTGATTGCAGTTCTGGTTAAAAAAAAGATATGTTAGAATTGGGCAAAAATACAGCGAAGGACAATAAGCATGATTAGGAGTCTGGAGTTGCTTTCATATAAGGAACGGTCCTAGTCTTTTTAATTACTCATCTTAGAAAAGGACAACTAAGGAAAGGATATGATAGAGAACTATAAAATCCTGACTGGTGTTATGAAAGTAAATAAGGAATTGTTATTTCCTCCTTCACATATCACAAAAAAACGGAGGCCACCTGATGAAATTTATAGGCAGCAGATTTAAAATAAACATTAGAATGCACTTTTTTACACAGCACACAATCAGTCTGTGGAATTTGTTGCCAAAAGTAAAGAACAAAAATATTTAAAAAAAAAAATTAGAAGTTTGTGAAAGGTGGTTTAATTAATAGTTATTAGCCAAGATGGTCAGGGACACAACTTCCAACTGCCAGAAGAGGAAACTGAATGAGTTGGATCAATCAATCATTGCACTGCTGTAGTAATTCCCTCTGAAGCGTCTAGCACTGGCCACTATCAGAAGAGAGGATACTGGGCTAGATGGACCACTGTTATGGCTATTCTTATAAAGTAGGTTTTCCCATCAAAATTCAGTCCATTAGGCTACCTTTACACAGCGGAGCGCAAATTGCGTAGTTTATTTTTGAGGTAAGGGTGCTGTGCAGATGTGCCCTTATTGATCTGGCTGGCTTCACAGGAACAAAACTCCAGTCTTTCATGGCGCTACTTAACAAGACGTCTTGTCAATTAATGATGGATCCAGAGTACCTTTTCCTGCCCTATATTATACTGCAAGGCTTTGTCTACACTGCGAGTTTTTGCGGCAGAAAATATGCTAATGAACTCTTTCTTTTTGCACAAGGGGTTTTTGCACAAAAAGAAGCAGTGTAGCTGCTTCTGTTTTGCACAAAAATCCCATTTTGCACAAGATCCTTATGTCTCTCCGGGAGGATCTTGCACAAAAGGGGAGTTTTGTACAAAATGGTAGTGGCTACACTGCTTCTTTTTGTGCAAAAACCCCTTGTGCAAAAAGAAAGAGTTCATTAGCATATTTTCTGCCGCAAAAACTTGCAGTATAGACAAAGCCCAACGGTCCTTTGCATTTATTCATAGATGACAATGTTTTGTTTGTTATATCGTTTCTTTTTCATCTCCAAGTTGTTTCATTTATTTGTAGTTGTGTCCGATTAGTATCTGTTAACTATTCTGTGATAGAACAATGGCCAACCAGGGAGGAGTGGCACCTCTCTCCTGCATGAATACACTGAAACCTCTGATGATTCCTTTTAACACTAAGACAAAAAGGGCATAAGCTTAAGTCTAGTTACACAATTCCTTAAATATTATGTGTACACAAATCACACCATGATTACGAGCATCTAAAAGTTTTAGTCTTACATGTTACCCCTTATGGACAAATATCCTGTAAGCAATGTACTTAATATTTTGAAAAGTCCTAATTCAACATGTCTATGTATGTTGGCAACATTATTTATAACTTCTGAAAAACTTTGATTTCCTTACTCTTTAAACACGTATTTGCATTCACTGTAACTTTTGCATTTCATCTCTGAAACAGCATATCGCTTTCATCTCAGGCATCAAAAGAACAAAAAATACCAAGTCTAACATCTGACCATAAATATCTGAATAATAAAGCCTCAGGAAGATCATTGGGATGTTGTCCCTTTGAAAGTAGCTGGAGGAGTGCATTGTTGAAGACACAAAAGATAAAAAAAGGTAGATGATTAAGCTTGTTATTTTATGCTCTATAGCAGGGGTGGGCAAGTATTGGTCTATGGGCCTGCTCTGGTTTGCCAGGGTTAGCCCTGTGCAGGCTGCTGCCACTATATTTACCTGAACCTCTGCAGGTACAGGTGATTGCAGCATCCATTGGCTATGTGTCACCATTCATGGCCAATGGGAGCTGTGGGAAATAGTGTCCTGGTTTGTGCTGCCGTTTTATTGCCCATCCCTGCTCCATAGTGTCATTATCTTCCTTAAGAAGCTGCTATTTGCAGTGATACAAATGTGAGTGGCAGAAATTCTAGTGCTGCATTTCTCCAAAATTAATTTTTGGCCTTCACAGCATCCATAGAAGCCTTTAATTAAGACTTCTACATAATTACTCTGCTCTGTGCATCTTTTCTTTGTAAGAACTTGATTCTTCTCCTTTCAAAGCTAGTAGAAATTTAACCATTGACTTCAGGAAGAGTAAAATTCATTTTCTGGTATTTCTAATAGTTTCATATGCCCATGCATTGAGATCTGTGATTTTTGTGAAATGGCCTACATTTTAAAACAAATAACCCAAGCAATTTTTCCTGATGATTTATTAGTACTGATTTCATATTTAGTAAAACGAGATCAACAAACTCATTTATATTTCTTAATATGTGTTCTAATTATGATCAGATACTAATATTTATGTCCACATCTGTGTATATCTACTTTAAAGCAGAATACTCTTCAACCTTTGGCCTGAAAGACTGTGAGGAGAGTCCTGCAATGCCAAACCTTACTTACGGAATCCAAAGCTATCAAGAAAACCCAACTCCTAATCTACAGATGAAAAAGGGATTTGCACATGGTGCTGCTAAACCACTTCCAGCTGGGTATATGTCCATAATCAATGTTTTCATATACATAGTATTTCTTTTAGAACATTTTAACTTTTTATAAGCAAAGTGCACTTTGGGCGTATTGCACCTGAAAAGAGTTGCAAAAGAGTCCATGTATTTGATAGCAGTGTCAAATGAGTATATGCTGGGGGGAGTGGGAAGCTTAACTTGTTGTTTATGTTTTCACATCAATCTTGAATAATGCCGAAGAGTATAAAGGATAAAGAATGTACTTCTGTTGAGCCAATGCAATGATAAAGCAAAGATTGCCTTATTTCCAAATCCAATAGATTCCAAGGCACATCCCATATACACTATTAATTCACTGACACTCAAGTCAATTCTGTAACATAGCCCTGTGTCTGACTTGAATGTCATTGCTACAGAGCAATTGGCAGGTTTTTTTCACTTTATCAGAATCACAAGAAATAAGCTGTTCTTCTAATGAATTCCAAAGTGGCTGTGAAGATCAGTGATGTCTTTGCATTCTGCTAACTAGAAGATTTCTTCAGTGAAAAAAAAATTAATCATTTTGATTGGAAGAGAGGATCCACATCTGGAAATATATATAGATCTCTTTCTGTCCTTCTACAGAGGCAGCAAGGGGGGCAGGAGCTGGTGCTGTGGGGAGCTTGCTTAAAAGTACTGTCTCCACAATGCCACCTGCCCTTCCCCACCTCTGTAAGAGGCAGCAGGGAGGGGGGAAAGGGGAGGCTGCTGCGAAGCAGCCTCTGCCTACGGTGTGCCAAGGCTCACCTCAGGCACAGGCTACACTGGCAGCAGCCCCTGTCCATGGGGGTCCCAATGGGGAGCTGGGTCCCCCCATGGACAGGAGCTGTTGCTGCCAAGCAGCCCCTGTTCACAGCAGCCAGGGCTGGCTGTGCACAGGGGCCCCTGTCTGTGGGCAGCCCTGGTTTCTGGGAACAGGGGCTGCTGGTCTTGACATGAGCTGGGACCAAGAAGTCCCGGCTTATGCTGGTCTGGGATGTTGCGCCTCTGCATTTTAAATGTAATAAGAGCCCAGGGGCTCTTACTACATTTAAAATGCAGAGCCACAGCATGGGTGGCTCCCAGAGCCGGCATGAGCTAGTACTAGGGATGTTAGTGACTAGTTGACTAACCAACAAGCAGGAGCTTATCGATTAGCACTGTCAACTAGTTGCTTCCCCCAAGCTGCCACTCTTCATTGAATAGCCCAGGGAAGAGAGCGCATAAAGGCACTGAGTCCATCCCTGATCCACGGGTCTCTTTTCATTCAGGAGACCTCTCGCACACACACACATACACACACCCAGCTGCCACTCTGAACTGAACAGTCCAGGGAAGCCGGTGTGCAAAGGTGCTACGTCGGTCCCTGCTGCACGGATCTCTTTTCATTCATGAGACCTCATACACACACACACACAGCTGTAGTTCAATGCAGCACGGCAGCTGTGTGTCTCATGAATGAAAAGAGATCAGCAGAGCAGGAACTGACCTACTGCCTTCACTTGCTGGCTTCCCTGTGATGTACAATGCAGAGTGGCAGCTAGGGGTGTGTGTGTGCACGCGAAGTCTCGTGAATGAAAAGAAACCCGTGGAGCAGGAACTGACATAGCATCTTTGCACACTGGTTTCCCTGGGCTGTTCAGTGCAAAGTGGCAGCTGGGGAGGTTGTGCTGTGAACTGGAGCAAACCAGGCTGAGCGCCATAACTGCCTGGTCCAGTCGGTTCTGAGAGCTACCCCCAGTGCGGCTCTGCAGAGAAGCCCCTTATTTACTAATCATGTAGTCAATACATTGACTTCACAATTAGCCAGATAATCACCGCAATTTAACAACATTAGAAGTGTCCACAGAGCTTACGTATACAACTAAGTGGGAGAGTAACATTTCTCAACAAATGTTTCTTTTCACTCACTTCCCCACCTCCCAACCCTTGATTTCTCCCCATCTAAAATATGTGAGAAGGACAAGTCCCCTCCTTGTAATTACACCACTTTAGTTCACAAAGCAGCTTTGTCTAAGACTTTTTTCTTATGGTCTTCAGTATGGCTTACAAACTGTTGCCATGTGTGAAAAAGCTATTTATTTGGAATTGCTTCTAGACATAAATAAATATGATGGGTAAACAATGGCAAAAATAGAGTGTGGTACTTAGTTTTCAACCCACTAAGTCCCTAAAAATATGCTGTTTACAGCTAAGGTCAGCATATGTAAAATTGTGCTTACACTAGCACATACAGCACTTCTATATTTTGTTACTGAATCATTGTTCTTGATTATGATAAAGCAACAATAACTAATTACAAAGTAATATAATCTGTATTCAGTAAACAAGTAGCCTTTCATACATGAATTCTTACTACTAAAACAGTTTGCCAGAAATTCACCTATTATTTCAATTTTTGTTGGACTGTCCTAACATGCTAGTGCTGGAATTTAGTCATAATTATCCTATGATTCTGTAATAAAAAACAGCACGTAAAGTATTCTTATTTCAGACACATGGCATCTCACAATTTAATGATCTTTGTTCTGGGGTTGTGTTCAAAGAAGCATATTATAAAATGGATTATCATATTTGTACAGACCACTGTTATCTGTTTAAAACATTCTAATTGTTTCTAGCTCTTGTAATAAAGATGAGCATAATTGTGTGCTGTCAACTTCATACATACTTCCTCAGACCTCATCCCAGTACTTAGGATATGAGTTTTGCAAAAATAGGTAAAAGTCTCCATTTTAAGTGATTATTTCCCTGAAGAGTGAAGGAAAGATTTTAAGTTACTGAATATGCAAAGAGACCTTAGCAAAGTGATTCTTAAAATATAGTCCTTTTTCACTGTATTTTTCCAATGTGTTCACAGTGAGATTGTAGTTATGTTAGTCCAGAATATTAGAGAGACAAGGTGTATGAGATAATATTATTATTGGACCAACTTCTGTTGGTGAGAGAGACAAGCTTTCAAATTTACACATACCTGAAGAGGAGCTCTGCGTAAGCTTCAAAGCTTGTTTCGCTACTAGAAGTTGGTTCAATGAAAGACATTATTGCAGCCAACTTGTTTCCCATCCTCCAATATGAAATTTTGCCACTTTTTTATTTCTGTGATTGGGAAAATGGATTAGTGACTTATTTTGGATGTGATAGAGACTAATTGCTCCAGCTTTCAAGCACAAATTAATTAATGCATACTAATAAGTAAAACTGTGTCCTATTTTCCATAACACCAAGCAAAATCATTTTGTTCTACCAATACAGTCTCTCTGCCCTGGCAGTATTCCAAAATTTGAATTTTTACCTTTCAGTATAGTGCAAGATTGCTTGTGAGAGATAAACATTTTAAATTAGGAAGAGAGCCAAGTGGTTCTCAGATAATACAGCTAATATACTTTATTTCTTGTGATTCTGTATCCATGTTGCAATTTGAAGAACACAGATCTGTGTACTTTTTATGGATTTTACTAAAAAAAAGAATAAGCAACCACATTAAAGCAAATAAAACAGGTATATTGATAGGGCTAAAACTACTATAACTTTAATAAACTAAGAATGAAACAATGCAATAATCAATTAAGGTCACAGTTGAGATTAAATAATTAGATCAATGAGTTAATAGTAACATTAATTTAGATATATAGTGTAGTTATAGCTGTGTCCAAGTCCCAAGATATTAAAGAAACAAGATGTGTGAGATAATATCTTTTATTGGACCAACTCCTCTTGATGAGAGAGAAGAGCTCTGTGTGGCTCAAAAGCTTGGTTCTCTCACCAACAGAAGTTGGTCCAATAAATGATATTATTTCACCCATTTGTTTCTCTAATTAGTTTACATTATCATTTATCAAAAAATCAAATTAATAAGTAGATAATCAAATTATGTCAGGAGGTTGAACCAAGGAAAAATTATTTTTATTTAATCAGGAGACTGAAGGATGTACTTGTCCTTTAATCTGACAACCTCAACTGGGGGATCCTGTCTTGACTGGGAAATGAATTAATCAAATGTGACTGTTTTGCATTTAAATATTGATGGAGATTATACAAGAGGTAAATAACACTCATCTAGTCCTTAGGATGTATAGAGACCAAATTTCTTTGGCCACAATCTCAGTGTCACCCTGCTTCTTCCTTATACAGTATGTAATTGTTGCTATGATAATTATTATTCTGCTTTCTTACTCCTTCCCTATTTCACACAAATAGCACATAACAGAGGTGATTACTGAATTAGGCTCAAATAGTAGCTCTGCATAATAGGTCTTTTATCCCAGAGACATCACCAATCAGATGGCGGATTTGGGTTTGGTTTTCAGGTTTCAGACCTGACACATTCACACCCTAAGGGTATGTCTACACAGCAGCATTATTTCAGAATAACTGACATTATTCTGAAATAACAAAGAGCATGTCTACACTGCAAGCCTTTATTTTGTGGTCTTGATATCTCAATTGCTGCAGTTACTGGAACCAATATAGTAGCATAGTTGGAACTTTTGAGTAGCAATAAGGGGGTCAGACTGCCATAGCCAGCAAGTGGAGTCCTGGGAGGTCTGTCCAAGGGGAGTAGTAAGGGCACTTAGCTTCTGATTGTTGGAGGATTGAGAAAGCACACATTTTTCTGTGGTCTTGACCTTGATGAGGCAATTCCCCCACTTACTCTTCCTCAAGGGCCACTTTCATAGCTTTGGGACCAATTAGGTGTTCTTTTTATTTAGATACTTCTAGCATGACCCAAGCCTCTCATATGGGCAGGTTTCAAATCTGAGATCATTACAGAAAGTCCCACTCAGAGATTACCATAGTCTAGAAAGAGCTGCTTTTACATCTAAAAATGTAAATTCCATTTTAGATCAGATACTTAAGTGTTCCCAGGCTTAATTTGTATATGAGTTCTCCCTCTCACAGCTTTTCCCATCTTACTTTAATAAATGCATTTCATTTCTGTATCATTTTTATCAGAGGATTTCAAAGTGCTTTAAAACCATAAGCAAACAGGACCATATGAAGTA